TGGGGTTGGGGGTGGTGGAAGGGGGTGCGGAAATTTAGTTTTGTAATTTGCTAGTTTCCGAGCAGCAAATTGTTGATTTTTTTAAACGTATGTGTAAGAGTTTTAATTTGTTTTATTGATCCGGAGAGTTATAGTTTAATTAACTTTTATTGATGAGATAAGCTGAATTTTATAACTTAAAGAGTGTTGTCGGCTTACTAGATGAAAGTGACATTGTTTATACCTTTTTATCTGACTCTTCTTTTTCTCATTTCTTTTTTTTTTTAAATTGATGTAGATCTAGGCCTATTTACTTTACTCAGTAGCTATGTGCCTGTTGCGATTTACGAACGTGTTGTGTTTCAATAACTGCTTTACTTTCTTATGCGTCTATCACTTAAATATGCATGTTCATGTTCAGTTCAATAAAGTTTAAACATAAAAAGATAGGTGCTAGCAAGGAGTCACGCTAGGAAAATAAAACACTGATAATGATCTGAACACATCATAAAAGTGAAAAGTGTAAAAATGCATACCGTCATGTATATCAGTCTGTGTCTTTTATGCACTACGCAATTCAAGCGATCGTCATGAAACTATGAAACTTTAAGTACACCCCAGATAATGTTTGTGGCATTAAAAAAATATCATAGGCGCGGCGCCCCGGAAGTTGAGCGCTTCGAGTTCTTACATCACACCCTGGGCTGTCGTGTTGACAAACCCACAACTAAGATCCAAGATATGCCCAGCATTGTTTACATTTAGTAACAAGAGTTCTTGAAAACGAAGCCACATGTTTGGAAACGCATTCAGGAAACCGTCATTAAAAGTTGCCTCAGTTTGGCGTATAGAACGAGTTTTGGGGTCGTCCATAAATGACGTCACACTCGTAGGGGGGATGGGGGAGGGGGGGGGGGGTCCGTAATTTTAAGACGGTGTGTGATGAGGGGGAGGGGGGGCTCAGATGGTGCGACGTCACACTTTTGCATTTTACAAAAGCAATGTTAGAAAACGAATTTTAGACGCTATTTCGCGTTTTAGAAAACTGTTTTTATAAATTGTAATAGGAATTGTTTAAAATACTCTATTTTGACAGAGTTCAGACAAGATTTTTGAAAAAATACCGATCTTTTAAAAAAACTTCAACTGCAATTTTGAGGGGGGGTAGTAGGCTGAGGTGTGACGTCATTTTAGGGGGAGGGGGTCTGGCTTTTTGTGACGACGTGTGACGGAGGGGAGGGGGAGGTAAAAATCGTCCAAAAAAGCGTGACGACATTTATGGATGACCGCTTTCGAGAACCCGTGCTTCGTACATTGCCCACTGTATGTGGACAGCTCAGCGTTAAGGAAACCTTCTAATTTTTTGTGTGCACGCGCAAGACTGAAAAAATAGTATCGTAAATATTCAAAGACACTAGAGCTAATAATAAACTTAAAACGAAAATTTTAACTGTTTTCTGTATTTATTTGAATGAATAAGTTTCAATAAAAATGACACAATGTAAATTGAATATTATGATAATGAGTTTCCTTGAATTTCCTTTCTTCTAAATTCGCAGCTAAGCGTGATTGACAAACTCTTTATTTTTATTTAGAAAAAAAAATACCATGTAGTCGATATGGCAGTACAATAAACTACGTCACAAAGGTTAAGTTTTGCCCTTATCACTGTCAGAGCAAAAGTCAGGGTCAGGGTCACTCGATAGTGTGCATGTTTACCGTGACTAAATGTGGTGAGTAGACCTTAGCCTCTCGTGTTTTTCAGCGAAATGCATTGTGAGTTTCGTGAGCTATTTTGAGGTCTAGACAGAATGGTGTGAATAGGACTAAATATAATACACCTCATAGTGAGTTGTTGGTTGTTTTTGCCTGAATGTAATCTATATTTACGTATCTATATTTAAGCAAGGCGTATTTCTCACTATATTTAATCCAGATGTATTAGTCGCGTTTGAGAATAACACATTTCTGCAACAAAGCCAACATTGAAACAATAGACACAAGTTTGTTTTAAATCTGACACGCCCATTTTTCCACGTCACTGATAACACGACAAAATAAATAAACAACAAGTGAGTGGGGATAGGGGTGGGGCTGGGTTACAACCGTATCTTTTGTTTGGGTATGTTTAAACAAAGCAGAAACTTAACTATGGCGGATTGAAACAATAGTGCTGGGCAGCTTCTTGTAAGAATAAGTTTGTAATCTTTATTAGCTACATGAACATTCGGTGTTCCATAAAATAAAAATTATGATCTACGTTGTGCTGCCTCTTAGCCTTCACCTTGATTCATACTTGCTTCTTCCATTTATTTCAAAACAATTCCCATAAACAAGCTGCCAAATTAAAAGAAAGCACTTGAAAATCTGCACGTTTAAACAATATAATTTCATAAGTGGCTAAAACGGTTTTTTTTTTAATTAGACCGGCATCCGGCTTTCATAATTAAATATATGCTCATTAGGATGCTAATTAAAATGGCCTTCTCGTTGGACCTTGAAAAGATTTCCTGAAATAAAATGAATTAATTGTAAACTAAAATGTATTGTCTCATTAATTCTTGTGTTTTATTTTACTCTTGTAATGCTTTTTTTTAAATGGGAGTGGTATTTTTAAACGCATGCTTTTGTAATGAAATTATAATTTATTTATACATTTATCTGTGTACACGTCCTTGATATGTTTTTTTTTCAGCGTCTTTTAGTTAGCACGTTCACGTCGCCATGTCGCCCCACCTCATGTAATAATTGTTGCTTTGTTATTTCAAGGCTATTTAGACTTTATTAATTATTAACTGAAATGGCAAACACGCATTTCTCTGGTGTCGCCCTCCTAAATGGTGTCACCCTGTGAGGCCCGCACCCCCCGCCCCGCCCTTGCTACGCCTCTGATGGGAATATTCCATTAGCATCATATGCTTATCAAAACAGGATGTTTAGGGGGGGGGGGTGGTATGCTGGGGAAAGTTACTACATTAGGTATTGTACCTTATCTAAGATCGCTATAATTAAATTTGAATGGAATATATATGGAGGGTGTATTTGTTGGATGTCTGGGGTTATTTTTATCGGTCTATGTTTGTTAGATACAGGATATCACGTGATTGTATCAGGGCTTTAATACAGGCAGTTATCATAGGTGTACTGCGTTAGATTCTAACCTTACTAAATACTCACGGATTTTACACGGCCCCAATAACCGCACTTAAACACCCGGTTTTGTAATAAAAGGTGGTTTCAAATAACCGGCTTCAAATACTCAGAGCTCACCTATTTCAGTGACCTCGGCATAATATGTAGAGATAGTGTGGTCAGCACTATGCCCAGACGGCATGATATGTAGGGATAGTGTGGTCAGCACCATGCCCAGACCCCGGCATGATATGTAATAATGTAGGGATAGTGTGGTCAGCACTATGCCGATATGCCCCGACCTCCACATGATATGTAATGATAGTGTGGTCAGCACTATGCCCAGACCTCGACATGATATGTAGGGATAGTGTGGTCAGTACTATGCCCAGACCTCGGCATGATATGTAGGGATAGTGTGGTCAGCACTATGCCCAGACCTCGGCATGATATGTAGGGATAGTGTGGTCAGCACTATGCCCAGACCTCGACATGATATGTAGGGATAGTGTGGTCAGTACTATGCCCAGACCTCGACATGATATGTAGGGATAGTGTGGTCAGCACTATGTCCAGACGGCATGATATGTAGGGATAGTGTGGTCAACACTATGCCCAGACCTCGACATGATATGTAGGGATAGTGTGGTCAACACTATGCCCAACTTTACTCAAGAACACGAGCCCGCGATCTGAACTCGAGACTTTCGCGTTATCAGTCGAACGATGTACCACGCTGGCTTCAAATACCCGGGCTCAAATGCTATTCCTCATTACCGGTCCTTAATTACCCGCCTGTCAATATCCGGCCGCAGTAATCGTCCTCAAATACCACCAGTGTTTCTTTCAGACTTTTGTTTCCGGTGGTGGGGTGCGGACTAAATTTTGCGGGGGGGGGGGCGGTGGGGGGGGGGGGGGGTGAGGACACTGTTAAAGTATATATTTTATATTTTATATATAAATTCCATTTCCTTCGGGGGGGGGGGGGCGGAAGACTCCTCCACCCCCCCCCCCCCCCCCCCCCCCCCCCCCCCCCGCCGAAGAGATGCCTGGAAGAAACTCTGAATACCACGTCCTCAGTTTTCTGTCCATAATTATACATTGATCTATGTGGCCAACAGGTACTCATCTAATGCGCCGTAATGTAATACCCGCTGCCCAAACGACAGACAACTCTAGCCAACAGTTTCAACCCCCACCACATAGTTACCTGCTAGCGGAGTTCTGTCCCCGGGTAAACAACACGTACTGATGTTGCTCAAATACAATTAAAATACTTCCGTACTGACCACAAAAATTAGGCCCTACCTTCAAATACGACTCATATGATTACACAGTTAGGGCGGCGCATCCCCCGTTGTTTTACAATCAAATAAACGACGCTTGTTACACTGGGGTACGTGAATATAAATACTGCGAGTTCAACGGAACGTAATCTTTTTTTTTTTTAGTTTTATATCAATATTTGCTTGTAATCCTGGATTGTAAACGTAAAGATTGCCTCTTTATCATACAGCTAGTTGGATTGCAATTAAAATAAATAAATATAAAACTAAAATGGAGTAGGCCTAGTTTGTGTAGTCGCAGCGTTATAACTGAACTATGAAGGGGAGACAAATGGATGGTTAGTGGGGGTTTTTGTAAGGGAGGCTACTCTCTCATTTGTTTTGGAATATGTATTGGACAGAAAACACTAAGAAAGTAGATTTTTGTTCGTATTTCTAAAGTCCTAATTAATTACGAATTAAAATGTCGGCTGTGTTTTTTCTATTTTTAGCTAAAAAAAAAAAATTACGAATCGGTTGTTTAATAATTCCTGGGGTATGAGTCAGGTTCCATCCCCCTTGATTTTTTTTGACTTATCTAGTAACAAATATACGAACTCTCTCTCGCTACTCAGTTCCTCTTCAGCACAAACGTTAAAAGACGAATGTCTAGTAACGTGGATTTAAACTTTATTTTTTTTTAATAGTCCCTGGTTATAAGGGGTCCAAAACTTGTATATAAAATGTACTTTGATACACATCTTTAAAATAAAAACACCAGCAGATTTTATATATTTAATTACGTAACTATTGAGTGAGAAAAGCAGAAAATGCGCCGTTGAATCCGAACATCAACAACACATTCGCTTCATTGCCTCCCTTGACTAGTGTGTCGTGTAATCGACGTGACGCCGGTGGAGAACATAGCTCGTTATTTTATCCTGGCAGTGGGCATGTGAAAGTTTGCCTTCCGATTTGACGTCATCACTCGCTTGATGTCGCTGCGCAATCGGAAAAAAAAATTACTTTTAAAATAAACAACATGAAGAAACAACACTGCCCTTCTAGATTTTATCAGCTAATAAAATATTTCAATAGGCGTCGGTTTAAATATCGCCTTAAGATTCCTTCACGTGTCCACATTTCTAACATAGGCGTTTCATTATGAAACGAACATTAAAAGGGGTGAGGGGGAGGGGGGTTGGCTGATTGTATTGCAGCTTTGGTACATACCATACTTTTACTATTCTGATCAAAGAGTTTTTAAAGACCAAAAAAAAAAAAAAAATTAATACTGTCGTCGGTATAGTCTTCTATTCTCGTCAATTTTTTTTATTTTTTTATTTTAACAGTTGGAACATGACGAGACTTGTAGCGGCGTTGCTGCTGTCAATGCTGGTGGATGGAGGTCTCGGGTAAGTCGTACCTTACAACCACCATAAATGAACGTTCAAACCGAGAGTAATAAAACTATATATATATATATATATATATATATATATATATATATATATATATATATATATATATATATATATATATATATATATATATATATATATATATCCTTGAGTTTTGAGGAGAGGGGTATCGCTACAACTCCCCTCCACTGAATCCGCCGCTGGTTAAATGTCATTCATCATCATCGTTTCTTGTTTGTGCATAAGACACTAGGAGCACTGAGAATAGTTTATATTTTTCAATGACCTCGGCCTACATGGAGATCGTGTGTACAGCACGGTGCCAGGATGTGTTTGTGTACCTAATTGGAGCCAGGTACCCATCACAGCTGGGTTCGCTCAGGGGCGTCCTACAAACTCAATCCCGGGATCCGAACTCGGGACTTTCGGTTTAGCAGTTATTTCTTCATCCCGACCACACCGTCAGTCAAAGAGTTTAATTTTAATACTTATGATACATTTCTCTACACGTTTTGCTTTCGAAAGCCTAATATCAATGTTCCTCACGTTCACAAAACTATTTTAATCTCTTGACTTCTAGTGGGTCCTACTTTATCACGGCACCACAGACCATTAAACCGGGCACCGTGTATGATCTGTCCGTGGACATCCTAGAGGCCAATGGTTCCGTGCCCATCGATGCTATACTAGAGACTATGACGTGGGACGGGTCTACAGGCAGATATAATGTGACGCCTGTACTCACCGCTTCGGGGACTTTCTCCAAAGGTTGGTTAACTATCTTATATATGTTTTATTAAGTTTGTTTGTAGGTTTGTTAACAAAGTTGTGTATTTTATTAAGTTTTTTTGTAGGTTTGTTAACAATAGGGAATTTCTCAATTTCTCCAAAGGTTTGTTAACCAATTTCTATATTTTGTTTAGTTTCATTGAAGGTTTGTTAACAAAGGTATATGTTTTAGGGAATTTCTCAATTTCCCCAAAGGTATCTCAACAATCTTATATATTTTATTAGATCTCTTTATAGGTTAGTATACAACATTATACAACATAACGTCGTTCAAATTTAAAGTGAGCTGAGAATGTTTTCATATTCATCACTCAATATTAACAGATTTTTATTGCTAACGCACACGTAGACATAAAAAAGTCAATAATTCACTACTTGATTGTCCAGTACCCTATCAAAATAAAAAAAAAAATTTCATTAAGAAATACAAAATATAGGCCTATACTTTTTGTTTCTAACTCATAATCAAAACGTCTAACAGCGCTCCTCCGTGTGTGATGTTGTTTATTGACAATATCCTGCAAATCATAATATATTGTTTTACCTATCGACCAGGCGAAAACATCTTACATGCATCACAAAGATTTCAAAGATAAAGATACAGGTTTAGTTTACAACTCCGATGTTGTGGGTTAGAGACTACATCCAGTTAATCCAGCCATTTCAAGCTGTTGTAAGAGATATCCGTATTAATATAGAGATAATAGGTTTACATAGTGGATTAGAGGCTAGGATTAAATATACACGTGTGCCGAAGTTTAAACTGATGTAATGGCCCCACAAAACGGTGGTGAAAGGTGTGGTCCGCACCGGATGACACCATTTCTAGTGTAACACCTATTGAAAAAATCGTAAAATTTAGGCCTACTTTCAAATATTTTTATCTAGTTAAAATAATAGAAATAAGAAGAAGAGGGGCAAAACTGAAAATGTTAAAATATTGGAGGGGTGGTGGGGTGAAACCCTCAAATACAGCATTGGGTGACACCCGACCTAGTGACGCCACTCGGCTTGTGCTGTGGTACTTGTAGGCCTACTACAACATTTGTCTCTACGCAGGGCAGTATGTAAACAATTCTTATCTGGTATCGCCACTATAACCCTGATCAAACAATCGCCCCGGATATTGATCCAAATTCTATTCCTGGAACTCTAAAACCATCACTATAAAAATGAATATTGCCTTTCTTTGATATAGAACAGAATATAAATGTAACATATTAATACTATTTCATCTTTACTTTCAGGTGATACTTCGAATTTATCGATTGCGGTAAGTGTTTGGCCAATAAGCCTTTCAATAAGCTTTTAACTTTATGGCCACTTCGAATGCTCGGGCTATGAGCTATGATTTACTCACTATACGGTTTTTTTACTTGCCACTGTGCCGATACTTTAAATTACAATGAGATATCTTCTATTAATAGGAAATTTTTTTAAAGTTTTATTTTCAGTAGTCTTCTTGTAAAAAGACGGATATTAAACTATAGTTTAAACTTCTCCTAACATTTAATCATACTTACATTTAACACTGTCGAAAACACATACAAATCTCTGTGCATCTTGCTGTAAGGACCGACAACTCAGAAATTTAGAACTTTTTTGTTTGATAGAGTTAAGGAAACTGGTGTGGGGGTAGCTGCTTGCCTTTAACAATTGAGAGGGCATTGTTCTTCATACCAACTCTGCCCATAACATACAAATTCTGCCCATAACATACCAACTCTGTCCTTAACATACCAATTTTGCCCTTAATATACCAACTCTGCCCATAACATACCAACCCTCCCCTAAACATACCAACTCTGCCCTTAACATACCGACTCTGCCCATAACATACCAACTCTGCCCATAACATACCAACTCTTCCCATAACGTAACGACTCTGCCCTAACAAACCAACTCTGCCCATAACATACCAACATACCAACTCTGCCCATAACATAACGACTCTGCCCTAACAAACCAACTCTGCCCATAACTTAACTACTCTGCCCTTAACATACCAACTCTGCCCTTAACATACCAACCCTGCCCATAACATATCAACTCTACCCATAACATGCCGACTCTTCCCATAACACAACGACTCTGCCCATAACATACCAACTCTGCCCATAACGTACCAGCTCTGCCCATAACATACCAACTCTGCCTTTAACATACCAACTCTGCCCTTAACATACACACTCTGCCCATAACATACCAACTCTGCCCATAACATACCAACTCTGCCCATAACATACCGACTGCCCATAACATACCAACTCTGCCCATAACATACCGACTGCCCATAACATAACGACTCTCATTTAACACAACGACTCTGCCCATAACATAACGACTCTGCCCTTGGTGCCCCAGATCCCCACAGATGTCCAGTGCCCGGGCTGTCAGCTCCGTGTCCGTGGGCGTGGCCCGCTACAGTTTGAGAGGAAAATAAGCGTCGGCTTCAGCTCTAACGTCTACGCCATCTTGATTCAGACAGACAAGGCTATTTATAAACCAGACCAAACAGGTAGGTCATCTTGATTCAGACAGACATAATATAAACCAGACCAAACAGGTAGGCCATCTTGATTCAGACAGACAAGGCTATTTATAAACCAGACCAAACAGGTAGGCCATCTTGATTCAGGCAGACAAGGCTATTTATAAACCAGACCAAACAGGTAGGCCATCTTGATTCAGACAGACAAGGCTATTTATAAACGAGACCAAACAGGTTAATTAATACTTAGAAGCCTAAAAACCATGCAAGCCCAATCAAGACACCGATTAGTGCCCAATATCTTAAGTTCAGACTAGAGTAACAATAGCAAATTACTAAATATCTTTTTATCAAAGATGTGCGTTAAATGTTTATTTTTAGCTATTTCATCAGTTGCAAAAGTGAAAAAGTAATAAAGAAATAAGTGTATGCCTACCACTTGCTAAAACAATTAAAAGAAAACAGCCTGTTTCTATGACATTTTTTAAACATTTAGTTCATCAAACATATAATTATACCACCATCTTAATTAATGCTTAATCTAACTTTATTTTTCATCAGTTCGCTTCAGAGCACTAGCTGTGTCTCCAAGCCTACAGCTGTACAAAGGACAATTCAACATTGAAATCACTGTAAGCTTTCAGACTAGTACTTAAGTAACAACTCATTCAATGACTATCTGTTAACCCCCCCCCCCCCCTCCAATGTGTCAATTCAACATTGAAATCACTGTAAGCTTTCAGACTCTAGTACTTATGTAACAACTCATTTAATGACTATCTGTTGACCCCCCCCCCACTCCAATGTGTCAATTCAACATTGAAATCACTGTAAGCTTTCAGACTCTAGTACTTAAGTAACAACTCATTCAATGACTATCTGTTAACTGTTCTAACCCCCCCCCCCCCCCCCTCCAATGTGACAATTCAACACTGAAATCACTGTAAGCTTTCAGACTCTAGTACTTAAGTAACAACTCATTTAATGACTATCTGTTGACCCCCCCCCCCCCTCCCACTCCAATGTGTCAATTCAACATTGAAGTCACTGTCAGCTATCTTTGTGCCATAAGCTAGAACGTTAGTTAAACACATTCAATGACTAATCAAAACACATCTTTTCTTCCTGTAATAATCTAACCTGTGAGCTATCGTTGTTGTCCGTAGGCTAGTGCTCATTGTGCATCTCTCAACTGTTCTAAAACACCCATCCCTCTGAGACAATTTTAATTTAGAGTACTGATAATATTTGCCCTTTCTAAATGAATTAACTAATTAAAGTTGGTATTAGCCTTGTAAAAGAAATAATCATTTAGAGCTCTGTTGCACCTACCATTCTGTTCCATGTTGAGTGTTACTTGATTTGTTCCATATTGAATGTTAACTTATGTTAGCATATGTAATAGCAGGCTGATTTTTTTAATCTATGGAGCTAGGTTTGGGGGGTGGGGGAAGTGGGGGGGGGGGGGGGGGGGGGTGATGAGTCGAGAAGAAAGGGTCTGGCTGAACTAGATTTAAATTTTTTTTTATAAAATAACAAATATCAATTAAAACAAGATATGAGTGATGAATGCTTCAAACCCCCCCCTCATCCATCCACCAGTTTTCCCAGACACATGACTAAATATAAATAAATATTTTTAGCCAGATCCTTTCAACTATTCCCCATGTGGCCAGATGTTTTTCAACTATAGCTATTGAAAAACTTATTTTATTTTATCACCTTTCACAAATTGATCCAAACACTGTAAAACCAGAAATTATAGATTACCCTTCACAGTCTTAATACAACAAGAGAAAGCTTCCATTTTTTTTCAGGACCCAAATAACAACAAAATAAAAATTTACAAAAACTTGAAGTCATTGAAGGGTGTTGTGGAGAACAGCCTTGAACTTAGTGACCAGCCTATGTACGGGACATGGAGAATTTCTGTTAAGCTCAGTGTTAGTAGTTCCATGATTACATTTCCATGTTTAAGTTTTTTTTTGAAGAATTACTTCTTAAATGTATTTTTTTTAATTACCCAAAGGTATTGTTATTGCTTACTTTACTTGAATGATTAATTTTATGTTTTAATTTCTATTATTTCTCTTTAATAATGGGAAAATACAGTGTATAAATTTCATTTTGTTTTAAAAGTCACCATATGGGAAATAGCTGTGTTTAATTTGGAGTGACAGAGTAGATATTATAACTTTTTCATTATTGAAATTATTAAGTTCTATAAAAGTGTATTTAAATTCTTTACAGGACACATCAGACAGTGAGAGCATGAGTTTTGATGTTTTGGATTACAGTAAGACTTGTTTTTTTTAACACTCATTTTTAAATTAAGCACAATAAAAATTTGGTCTTAAAATCTCATAAGGCAGAGTGTTGTACAGTCATTATTTATTTATTTGAATAGATTTGCCCAGATTTGAAGTTAGTGTAATACTCCCACCTTATGGCATTGTTAGTGATACACTCCTTACTGGATCTGTCAAAGCAAAGTAAGTTCTAAGTTACCTCATGTTGGCTATGTAAACATTACTGTAGATTGCATATTCAATGTTTTCGTCTTCATAATAATGGATCTGCTTCTTTCTTACAACCATGCAAAGTTCATGCTGCTAAATTCTAATAGGCTGTCTAATATGTTATGCTAGTGTTTAAAAGTGTAAACAGTTTACTGTATATAGCACTAGAAATTTAAAAAGTTACAAATATGAATACAATTTTACAAAACATTAAAATTACTGTTGAAATAAAATCTTAATGCTACTCAACATAAGACTATTTAGAGAATTGACATATTGATTATTACTGTTCCCGGAAAACAGCAAATATTCAGTGAAGTTAACATAAAAATAACTCATGAAACAACAGCAGGAATAATTTTTTACTAAACTGATTTAAGCATACTGTTACCATTTAAAAGAATAAATTTTTAAATCATTGAGTTGCATCCCTTGGGTTTTATCTGCCCTTAGTTAAATGATTTTTCTTATGTATTTATTTAAATTAATTGATTTAATTATTAAATGTTAACCTTCCCATGTCCTTTATTAACATCACTTACAAAATCTGTCTATTCAGTATAAGCCTATACATTTTCTCTGCTGTGCATATTTTCTCTGTAATGTCACTTTAAAAATTGATTTAAAAAAAATTTATTCTAGATGTAAAATTTCTTTTCCGTCTCATATTAAACTGACTTCTCAGAGTCTATTCTGCATACACATTTTAAAAATCTAAAACACCTATAAAAACTAACTTTAAAATGTCTGATCCAGATACACATTCGGGCAGCCTGTTATTGGCACCGTTGAGCTCCATGTAGGACCTACGATTGTACCAGGCTTGTACAGTTGTGGCAATGAACCAAAGACAACACAGATCACTTTTGAGGTAAATGTCATCAGCATCATTTTCCCATGTTTGTTGAGAACCTTTTTAAAAAGACCTTTAGGACCTTATTTTCATATCCTGATGGCAATACAAATGTAAAAGTTTTAAAAGGCTAATGAAATTATTTTGTAATTTTACATTCTCTACCATGGGACCAGTGCAGATTTCAATCAATCTTTGCTTAAAAAATTCAAAGGAGCTACTTTAAAAAAAAGAGGATTCAACAACAATTTTAATGTTTAATTATAGTGACTACACTATTAATAATCCAATTTTTCAAAAAAATTACTATTTTAAGAAATACATAAGTACAGATAAATAAAATAATAATTAAAACATAAATGGCAGTTTAAATTATAGATTTATTGTTTTTTAAAAATAAAGAATCGTGTAGAATTTTTTCTTAATGATGGATAGCCTATAAATATTATTAATAGCAATACAAACCCTTATTTACAAATTGTAATACAAATATTGATTTTTTTTTTCCAGATTGATGGTGAAGCATCTTTCACAATGCCTAAAGAAGATATCCAAAGAGCTGTAGGAATTTACAATGGAGCAGAGGTCATGGTCACTGCTTTTGTAAAAGAAACTACAACAGGTAACTTTTGAATTTTTCTAAGCTGTTAATATCCAAAAAAATAAAGATGAAAACTAAATATCAACATCGTAAATGGAATTCTATGTTTATAGGTGTCCGTCTCAATGGCAGCAGTGTGATCAAATTTTATGACAACAAATACGAACTCAAGTTCCTTGACACAACTCCCAGTGTATTCAAAGCTGGGCTTCTCTACACTGCATTTGTAAGTTAAATACTTTAGCCTACAGCATTTGTACTTAATTAAGTTTGTTTAGAACCCAGTATTTGTACATTACAATACTTCACAACACAGCATTTGTATTTAATTAAGTACACAGCATTTGTAAGTTACAACACTTATTACCCAGTAGCATTTTCACAGTACAAAACTATTTAGCACAACATTTGTAATTTTAATAAGCACTGAAGAGGAAGATAAATTTATGTTAGGTCTTTGTTTACAATTTCATGACTAGAACAGAAGCTTGATTTAAAAAAAAAACTTATTGTTTATTTTTTATTGGCCAGATAAGAGAATAACTATCTGTAGATTACTTCTATGTTTTGTAAATTGTGAAGAAATTTTATGACTAACAAATTACAAAAAGTAAATATGGTCATTACAAAATGATTTGTTTGGAGATATTTCTCCAGCACGACTGTTTTAAATACACATCACCAAAGAAGCTGAGAAAATATTTAATTACTATCACAATTTTTTTGCAAATTAATTGTTATATATTTGGCTAACCCTCATGTATTTGATAAGTAACATTTATCAAATTGAATTTTAATATATAATATCAGAAATATTTATTATAAATGTAATAAACTTTAATTTGTAATGGTGACCATTCTGTGGCCTTTTGACACATAGGCTGCTTGTAACAAATTTAAACACTTATAAGGAAAATAGCATTTTAATAATAATAGACGTTTTTGTTTCAAACCAGTGTATAGTCTGCAATTTTTTTCTCCCACACCCATTTTTTCAGATCCAAGTTGCTACTCCAGATAACATGCCACCAACAGAAAATAATTCTGTTGTATCAGCGTATACATATGTCAACTATCGGCAAACAGTCCCAGACCAATCTCTCTATGACACTGGATTTTTTTCTGGAACCTACCCACTTCCAGGCAAAAATCTGACCCTCCCAGCCAGTGGCGTATTGCCTATTGATATTGATATCCCTAGCAATGCTACAAGTATTACAATCAAGGTATTCTTTTTTAAAGGCTCATTTTGTTATTTATTTGTTTATAAGTATGGTTGATATTTGTGATATGGTAATATAAACTTAATTAATTAAATAGTTAGCATTGTTTTACAATCAAAGTATTAATTCTTAAGCAATGATATTGTTGTCTGATATTTTTAAAATTGGGTTACACTAATTAATAATCATATAGTTTTGTTAATTATCTTAATAAGAGAGTTAACTTTGTTGCTAATTAAATTTTAGGTGTAGCAAGCTTTTCTTTACATTGATAGGCTGTATTAATTTAAAATTAATGGAAGGATAATTGTATCTTTATGAAAAACGAAAGCTACAAAAATTATTATAAGACCTACAGCAAAAAGTGAACCACCCTGACATTTGCTGTAAAATATTTGCAGGTAACCTACAACAAACTTTCAGTTTCTAGAACTATTGAGAAGACCTACTCAAAAAGTAACAACTATCTTTCTTTAACTTTGCTGGATTCAAAAGTGAAAGTAAGTTTCGTTTTGATAGTGTTGGCTATTAAAAAAAATTAAATTTTCTTTCCTAAAGAAAAAATCCGCTAAAGACATTGTCAATTTTAAAAAGAGTTTTATAATTTTTATGTATTTTTATGATTAATTATACAATAAAAACATTTTTCCGTTGTTTTTAAATTTTTATCTCTTAATTGTTCTTAAGCACACTGAGGCTTACTCTTAAGCTAGGAAAACGGATATTTAGGTGAACAATTCTCTAGCATTCTACTGCTAGAATTCTTCATTTATTGACAAATATTTTTTTTCTATTTCCTAGTCTGGTGACCAAGTGACATTCCAAGTAGAAGGGACAGAACCCTTGAATCAAGTTTCTTATGAGGTCAGTTTATTAAAAACCATTTATTACAATAATTCTAACTTTTAATGTGATTTTTTTTATTATTAATCTTCTGCATTTGTATGATTCAAAAATTGGTTTTGAAAAATTTCAGGTTTTTTCTAGAGGTTCTAAAGCAGCTACTGGTACAACCAATGGGAATGGTCAAAAGAAGTTCACTTTCAAGCTAACAATCACACCACTAATGGCACCAACTGCTCATATAGTTGCCTTCTATGCCAGGGGGAATGATGAAATTGTTGCAGACAGCTTGGCTTTCTTAGTGGAAGAGCTCTTTATCAATAAGGCAAGAGAATAAATACACCCTTCCTCCATATTATATGCTCTTTTAATACACATTTTCAATAGTAATAATAATAATAAAATGTGAGGTGAAGTGGAGGTATCTGAAATACTTTAATATATTACAAATAAAATTTACACTGAAGGTTTTTTCATATATAATATTTAATTTATGGTATTTTCATGTTTATATGGTAAAACAGTATATCAGTATTAATTTATAACTTTTGAAATTAAGTGCATGAATATATCTTCTCAACTTTATAACAGAAGGTTAATGTAATAGATTGAAATAATTGTGAGGTCAAGGGAACTCACTCTTCTGTATTAGTTATATTTATAATATTGTTATCTTGAGTGATGTCCCTTGTGTACTTCCTTCCGTCCTCTCTGTGTGTTACCATCGTGGTAGTTAGACCCAATAAATGTGTTATATACAACCACAGGCTTCTGTCGTCAATCTATTATAACTGGCGACGAAGGATAAACATCTACTAGAAAGAGCACCTACTTACGCAAAAAAGAGGTTTGCTAGAGCTTATTAGCTAATTATTTCTAGAATTATGGCGCTGTATGGCCAAATAAAAGAATTTGATGCGAATGATGAAATCATTCAAGATTACCTAGAGAGGTTAAGCTTTTACCTAGAAGCTAACGACGTGACGATAGAAGCCAAAAAGAGAGCTGTTTTGTTAACAGTCATAGGGCCTCAACAATTCAGGCTACTAAAGGACTTATGCGCACCAGCTAGTCCAGATACCAAGAGCTTTAACGAGCTGAGCAAATTGCTAACAGACCACCATGCGCCTACCCCATCAAAGTTTTTATGTAGAGCTAGATTTGACAGTAGGACTCGTCAACCAAACGAGTCAATAACAGAATATGTTGCTGCTTTACGTCATTTAAGTAGATTTTGTGAATTCGGCGACACGCTGTCTGACAGATTATGTGAAAAGTTTGTGACAGGTGTAAACAGCCCTGATATTCAAAGAAAGTTGCTGCTCGAGTCAGATCTAAAATTAGAAAAAGCAATACAACTTGCAACTTCAATCCAGCAGTCATCAGAGGCGGCGAGATCCTTAGCACCTTCAGAGATCCATGCAGTAAACAGCAGGTTAGTCAATAAACATCAACCCCAACAGAGCATTCCAACTTATGCTAAACAGCCTGCTCGTTCAAATCCTAGATCTAAATCTAGTGATAATTATCAAAAATGTCATCGATGCAAAGGTCCCCATGCATCTCATCAGTGCAAGTTCAAGTCTGCAACTTGTTATAAGTGCGGTAAGCAAGGTCACATTGCTAAGGCCTGCTTTGCAAAGTCTTCGTCTGTTGCTAAATCTAGCCAGTCAAGACAGTACCGCAACCAAAAGCAGCACTATGTTAACTCTCACCAAGACTACCTAACCCAACCAATGAACCACTCTACCTGTGAAAATGCTCAAATTGATTCGCAGCCGGATTTCAACCTATTCTCTGTGAAATCAATAAGTCATGCTCCCATCAATGTACCAGTTAATATCAACGGTAAGAGCATCAGCTTCCAACTGGACACTGGAGCATCTCTAACAATCATAACAAAGAAAGATTTTGACGCTGTCATAGGAGGATCAGTGCCTCTACAGCCATGTCACAAGTGTCTAACAACATACACTGGTGACAATGTTCCGGTAATAGGAGAGTGTATGGTTCATGTAAGTTATAATGGTCAAAGTGTTAAACTTCCTCTTCTTGTGGTTGAAGGAAATGGACCGCCATTACTAGGTAGGAACTGGTTAAGTGATCTTAAGTTAAATTGGGAGAGTATTTGTTCATTGAAGAATGTAAAAGAATCTAGTCTTACTTCACTAGATAAAGTAATTTCTGAAAATAAATGTGTTTTTGGTAATCCAGGATTACTAAATGATAGAACAGTGAAGTTAAGCATTAAAGACACAAATCCAAGATACTGCAAAGCTAGAGTTCCACCTTATGCAATGAGGAATAAAATTGAAAATGAGCTAAGTAGATTGGAATCTAATGGCATTATAAAGAAGGTAGACTATTCCGATTGGGCGACACCCATTGTGCCAGTGTTAAAGAAGGATGGTTCTATAAGAATTTGTGGAGATTATAAAACTACACTGAATTAGCAAATAGAGCTAAATAGGTACCCTATACCTAACATTGAGGAAATTTCTTTGAATTTGGCAGGAGGAGACAAATTCACTGAATTAGACTTTAGTCATGCTTACACTCAACTAGAACTGCATCCAGATTCAAAAGTCTATACGACAATAAACACACATAAAGGACTCTACCAATATGAAAGACTATGTTTTGGCATATCATCTAGCCCTGGAATTTTCCAAGCTGTCATGGACAGTATTTTTAAGGATATTCCAAATGTTTGTGTGTACTTTGACAATGTGTACATAACTGGTAAGAATGACACTGAACATCTTAAAACACTAGATAAAGTCTTGAAAATTGTTGGTGAAAAAGGTTTAAAGATAAACAAAGATAAATGTCAATTCATGCTGACAGAAATTAGTTTTCTTGGTTATATATTAAGCAAGCAAGGTATCAGACCTCAACCTGAGAAAACAAAAGCCATTAAAGAAGCACCCAAACCTGAAAATACCCAACAACTAAGAGCTTTTTTGGGCTTGATAAATTATTATGCAAAGTTCATAGGAAATCTGTCTGGTAAACTATCACCACTGTACAAGCTGCTACAGAAAAATGCAACTTGGCACTGGGGTAAACAACAAGATACTGCTTTTAATACAGCAAAAGAGGCTTTGTCTTCTGACACCTTACTAACTCACTATGACCCAGGGAAAAGACTTATATTAACATGTGATGCTTCACCGGATGGTGTAGGAGCAGTCTTGTCCCACATGGATGAGAAGGGTGACAGACCCATTGCTTTTGCCAGTAGATCTTTGAACCAGGCTGAGAAAAATTATTCTCAGTTAGATAGGGAAGGCTTAGGCATCATTTTTGGTGTTAAGAAATTTCATAAGTTTCTGTTTGGTAGGAAGTTCACCATCTTTACAGATCATAAACCATTGCTAGGTTTATTTGGAGAAAACAAAACCCTACCTGAGCATGCCTTACCAAGAATTCAAAGATGGGCTATCACACTAACTGCATACAATTATGAATTGAGATACCAACCTGGATCTGATAGTAGTGCAGATAGTCTTAGCAGATTACCTTTAAAAAACCAAAGCCTGAGCTATGTACCAGAAGATGTATTTGTTCTCTTCACTATCATGGATAACTCCAATATAAATGTGAATGATATTAAAAGAGAAACACAAAAAGATGAGTGCTTAATAAAAGTATATGAGCACTGTATGAATGGTTGGCCTGAAGAGTCTGTGAATGATGACTTAAGGCCATATAAAATAAGAAATAAAACCCTTTGTGAAGATAATATAAAAGATGGAGAAGATGCAGTCCATTATTAGTCAGAGTTGCCTAAACAAAGTATTTGTAACTTCATAAATGATTATGGTGATATGGCAATTTTAAATACATTAGTAAGAAGGAATGTGATCATCAAACAACTTTGCTAACATCATTAGCACTTACAGAAACTAAAAGGGTAACATCAAAAGAAGAAAAAGATTTTTGCCATTTAATACACCCTTTTCAAATACTGGATCACAGTTGCAAAGTGATATGGTCCAGAATATTACTCATAAACAGTATTTTTGGTTACCAGGAAAGCACTATCAGATTACCTGAGAAAATTGATCAAGCAAAGAAATCTATGTCAATTAAGGATCTGAATAATAGCATAATACTTTCAGATGCCAATTCAAAAATAGTTCCATTAAATTATGACAAACACCCATTGAAAGAGAATTTGGTGTTAATGAGAATGTGTATCTAAGAAACTATGGGAGAAAGGAAAAATGGATACCAGGTCAAATTGTTCAATGTACAGGACCTGTGTCTTATAAGGTAAAAACAAATGATGGACTTATTGTCCGTAGACATGCAGACCAGTTAAAAATAACTTGTGCAGATAATAAGTGTGAATCTATCAATCCCACCAAATCTGAACAGTTCACACCAACTCAGTTTGTTTCACAACCAAGTTCTGTTGATATGAGTGAACCAAGTTGTCTGGAGTCAGAAAATGTAAATTCTGGAGTTAATGATTTAAATCCTAGACCTCCTGAGATAGAGAATCCAGATGGTCAGAATATTGAGTCACCAAATCAAAAGCCACTGAGAAGGTCAAGCAGGACAATCAAGGTCCCAAATAAGTTAGACCTATGATTCTAAAGGTCAAAAGGACTTTGACATTATTGTTTTGTATTTTGATTATGTTGTAGCATATTGTGCATTGTTTGTAAGGATGTAATCTACCATAGTGTTCATGTTACAATATAATTGGTGATTTTAGGATACTATCAATTGTTCTATTGAGAGATGTGTTATTGTGTTCTAAGGGTAAAGGGATGTAATAGATTGAAATAATTGTGAGGTCAAGGGAACTCACTCTTCTGTATTAGTTATATTTATAATATTGTTATCTTGAGTGATGTCCCTTGTGTACTTCCTTCCGTCCTCTCTGTGTGTTACCATCGTGGTAGTTAGACCCATTAAATGTGTTATATACAACCACAGGCTTCTGTCGTCAATCCATTATAGTTAATATTGTTTAAATTTTTTGTTGATAAAATTAGCAAGCATTAAAGGAAATAGGTTACAATAAGTTTCATTTGATTCTGTTTTATTTTTAGTATTTGAAGCTCGTATTTACATGCTTTGTATAAAATAAAATAACTAAGAAAAAAATGTGTTTTATTACACTTCTGTTAAGAAAAGCTACCTAATAGTCAACCAAATTATATTTTGAGATTACAACAGATGTGTAACCATGTGATAATAATTACCAGGTGTCAGTTTCATTTAATAAAAACCAAAGTCAACCAAACGAAGATGTTGTGTTTGAAGTCACAGCAGATCCTAATTCCAATGTAAATATTCTGGCTGTTGACCAGAGTGTCTTGCTGATGAAGACAGGAAATGATATCACACCCAAGAAGGTAAATTCTGCTTGATCTTATAACATAGTGATTAGTGATAAATGATGCATAACTAGAAACTTTAAGTTTTAATACGAAAATTACAAGACTCTAAAAGAATAATATTTGATTTGCTGTTTGTATACTTATATTTGTAATTACTTATTACATTACATTGTAGTTATATATATAAAATAACCAGGTTATTCTCCTATCTATATTTATATAGACACATAGATTACATATACAAATTTAACATTTAAAAATAGCATTTATTGTTTCTTAATACTTATTGTTTAATACAAAATAATTATTGTAATAGGTAACTGATGCTGTAAGCAAGTTTGATAAGGGATCAAAACCATCCAACTCTGACTATGCACTTTCTAACAGTGCAAAAAATGTTAATGAAATTTTTTCAGTGAGTATTTTCTTTGTTTTCATTGATTTTTTTTCCAATTGTGCAGTTAATGTCCATATGCCAAAATTTATATGAAAGAATTTTTTTTCACTACACATTTCTTTAAATGATGGTGTAGTCCTATAGAAAAGATTTTAATACAGTATTTTTTAAAAATATAATTTATTCTTAAAATAGATCTAGTTTTAATAAACCTTACAAAACTTTACACCAGAAAAGTATCTTATTTTAAATTTTCTTTGTTTTTGAAATACCAAAAATTAATATTTTTTTTCTTCTAGAATATTGGCCTAACAATATTAACTGATGTTGATATTTTTGAACCCCCTCGTTATGGTAAGTCACATTTAAAACAACCATTTTTTTTCATTTTTATTTTGGGACATTTATTTTTTTAACCTTTTCTGAAATGTTTAATTCATATTAAAACTTGTATAATGATAAATAATTAATGAAAACATAACAGTGTTTCTTTAAGCCATCTCTCTGGAGGGTGGGGGAGGGGGGAGACTTTCACCCCTTAAGCAAAAAAAATTAAATGTATTCTTTTAATTTCCCCCACCCGTGAAGCAAAATGTCTTTAAAAAATCCTCTGAAGTGAAACCAAATCTAGCGAAGCAAAATATGTGGTCTGATGCAAATTAGCTTTTAGTTTTATTCTGTACTATACTCCTGTCAGGCATGAATCTAAAACTTTAATGATGTAATTTTATCTGCTAATGTCAGAACAAAACATCAATGGGTTTTGCAGTTAGGAGAAAAGAATATTTAGCTCGATACCAGTGAAAATTTCTAACTTTGTTTAGTACAGTTTACATTCATATTGGTCAAAATGATCACAATTAGGGTTTTACTATAGTGGGCTACTTCACCAAAATATGGGAAGACGCTTTTTTGACTTGTTAAAAATTTCTTTTTGTAAAATCATGGCCAGCTACAATTATTATAATGGTTCTTTATTATAAAGTCAAATATGCAGTTTGATTATAGTCATAGTGATGTATGAAAAGAAGTTTAAGTTTTTTAATAAATAACTAATAAATATTGGGAAAAAATAGTTGTCAATGACATGTTAAGACCATTTGATAAGCAGTTATCATTAGAGTAACATGTTTTAAAGACCGCCGCTGATACTACATGATGTATTTGATGAAACAGACAGATTCAAATATTTTCCACGAGGCCCAACTGGCTTACCAGGACCCCCGGGGCTGGGGGGTCCTATTCCCTTCAGTGGTGATGATGGTGTAGAAGCCAGTGTCTCAATGGATTATATTAGTCGACAAGGTGGTGCCTCAAAAGCACTAGTTGAACCTGAGAGAGTTCGGGGAGTTTTCCCAGAGACCTGGCTCTGGACCAAATCAAAGACTGGGTATTTATATGGAAAAAAAAACAGACTAATTTGGTCAAAGAAAATAGCATTTTATCGGCATTTGGCATGTGTAAATTAAGATAACTGATTAAAATGTATAGGCTTATTTATCGAAACTTTCATTTTCCTGAAAAAAAAAATTGAAAGATGCTAATATTATAAATAAAATTAAAATAAAAGATGCCCATTAGCGAGTTAATTCAGATTTAATTTATAAATTTGTTAAATATAGTATACTAAAACAACTTTAAAATTTAAAACAAATTTACTAAAAATATATGCATAGAATCTTTATAAGCTAACTAGGCATTTGTGCATATTGTGGAGTAAAATTTACCAGTGTGTATTCTTGCATGTTTTAAATGTTGATAATGTTGCATTATACTTAAATAGAAAATGTTAACAAAGTATTTTCAATACAGGACTGAAACAATTTTAGTATAAGAAAGTTTTCAAAATGTTTGGATTTATTTGCATAGAACTTAGTTATAAGTATAATACTTTTAAACATTGTAAAATAATTGAAGATTTTAAAAACATAAGCGACAAGACAAACTTTTTCTTTCATATTTGATAAAATTCATTGACAACTCAACCTCTGCACAAGTAAGATGACACATACTAAACATACATTTTATTTTGATTTGAATGGTTATTACGTCTTAAAGTTAATACTATCAAGAACCATTTAAGGTTGTTAACACAGAAACCAGTTTGAATTTAATAATTATTAAAAATAATGGAGGACAATATCCCATGGCAATAATTCGTTAATAAACTCCTAACAATTATCACAGGCTTTTTAAGATCTGGAATATCGGAGAAAACATTTTCAAACTTTGCTCAGGTAGCAAAATCTGCTCGTTTTGATGAATCTGACATGGTAGAAATGTCTGAAATGGCTGCTCCCAGCACTGAACTTTTGGCTGTTGAGAGAGTTCGCAGTTTATTTCCTGAAGCTTGGCTTTGGGAGAACTCAGAAGCAGGGTACTTAAAACAGAAGCACATAAATAGTAACACGCTTGCATGATAGCTGGGGGAGTTTTTTTATATTTCTTTACTTTTTAAGCACATTCATTAGACTGTGCAAAACCGTTACTTTGTTATTAGGATCCCCCTTTTTGATATAAAGTTTAAGTTTAATCTTACATTAATAACTAAAAACATTTATAATAAAAGAAATTTAACTCTGCTAATAATGGAAAACAGTTTGGATAGTATGGACACATTTTTCAAATTAATAATATGCATATGCTTGTTTGTGAGAAGTAAAATTTATCTATATTTTTAATTATGACTATTTAAAGAAAACCTATTAACAATACAATTACTCTTAACTTAAAGCTCTGTCGATAAAGCAGAGCCTCAAGTTAAGAGAAATTATTTAATTATTGAAAACTTAAATTAGTTAAAAGGTTTTAATTCTAAAACATTATTTAAAATATAACTGATACCTGATACTTGTGCATCTCACCAATTTAAAATACATTTTTCTATGCATGATTCACAAATCATTCATGACCCTAAAATAAAATAAAAATTTTAATGTCAACATTTTGAACTCAAAGGCCTACTTGTATGGAAACAATGCTTTTTTTTTAATGACTGACACAATCTAAAAGACTGTAAGCTAAAGGTTAGACTAGTTATTTTGTTAATATTTATAAAAGCTTAAACTCTTTCATAACATAAGCTAAAAGAAACACATATTTGTAAATTTTTTAGAAAATGAAACTACTTAATGATATAAGTTTTAAATCAGATATAGACTACACTTTTTTTTAATCAACAATAAATATTATATAAAATGTATGCTTTATGTCACTAAGATAATAGCCAACATACTTTAATTACTAGTTTACTTTTTTGATCATCAATCAAAATTTGAAGGACTATCAGTTTAAATTGACTTAAAAATTCAAATTCTGTTTGACTATATTTTTATTAATCATCTTTCATTTTAGTAATCATTCAATTAATAAAAACAATATTGAATCATAATTTAGATTTTAGATACTTGGACAACTCTGAGAGTTATCTCCTCGGTTCCCCTAGCACTCCCAGTGAAGCTTATTTTGATGACTTACAGATAGTACCTATGAAATTATATAGACCTATGGATTTGAGCTACTCACCCATGTTGGGTGGACTTTCAAAGGTTGAAAGAACAAGAGAAATATTTCCAGAGTCTTGGCTGTGGCAAAACAAATATCTTGGGTAGCCAACATTTCAGTAGCTTTTTTTAAAGTTATGTAAAAATGTTTTATTTTTTTTAAAATATAGCCTACGCATAGCATTCTAACATATTCTGTAAAAACAATAGTTTCTTTTTTCATCTGGAAAAATTGGTACTTAGAATCAATGTTCATTTCTCATTGAATACTTCTATTTTTAATCCCATTTATCTCCCTAGATTATTTTTCATTACAATTTAGTTTTCTTTAAAGTTACTATTTTTTGTGTGCTCAGAACCTTTGTTTTTCACTTCAAAGTGTTTATATCTCAATATAAATGTATTTGCAATCAAGTGAGTCAAGAATTCATGCCAATGCCCATTGAATATTAGATGTAGTTTTAATTTGGCCTATACATTTTAGAATGTTTCAATTCATTTTTTTTTGTCCACCATAGCTTGATTGCTTAACCCTATTAATTAAAATACATAATTTCATTAACATGTAAAACACTTCTAATGGCTTTTTTCAAAAAGTATCAATTTAACATATTGGTAGAAGAAGCTTAAAATTGACTGTTAATAATTAATCCATGAAACAACAGTAACACTAGTAACAGTAATGTTCAGTGTAGCAGCCAATGTGGCGAATAAATCTTTAATGAATTCCTTTTAAAAAATATGATTCAGGTTAAGCTAGGTCCCATTTTATATTTTAAATTCTCATGTATTGATTTAGCAACGAAACAGCTAGGTTCATCATCTAACGAAATGTTCAGTGGTTCTGGAGGTTTTGCACCGTTTATGTTAAGTGCAGACTCGTCACAAGCTGGGTTTATGGCCCGGGGTTTTCAAACTTTTGTGGAAGATCGGAGTCTTGCAGGAGGTGCCAACCTTATGACTATTGAAAGAATTCGGGCCATTTTTCCTGAAATTTGGTTTTGGGCCTCGGCTGAATCGTGGTAAATTTTTCTCTGCCAATGAATATCTGATGCACCAGTGTTTAGGGCATAGTGGTCACAGTGTGACGATTTGTATCCTAGTTGATATTCATTACTGGTGTCTGTATTGATATATCTTTTTAGATGTACCCTGTATTCTAGGCAAAACTTATATGGCTTAAATTTCTTAGTTACGCATTCTGGAAGCTGCATAGGTTTGCCTTTAGAACACTGTGGTAAGAAATGTTTTTTTTTTAGAAATCTTCTTAAAAAAAAACCTGGTTGTATAACCATATAGTCTACTTAGTAGGTGATGTGTGGTGGAAACATGTCCAAATACATACCATTTAGGCTACATTCTGGTATGGCAACTTTATCTTGGATTACTCTATAGTTATAGCGGTAGTTGAACATCTTAGCTGTCAGATTTTTTTAAAACAGCTCCAATAAAACTAGCAAGGCCTTTAAGCAAAATTAACAACAAAAAAATTGTGAAAGTCATCAGATCAGGCTTCCATTTGATGTGGCATAACATTTCTTAAGAATCTCAATCCTTACTGTTAATATTATGCACAAGTTTTTTTTTTCCTTAAAAGATGACAGCTATCCCATTACCATCATCTGGCAATGTCAAACCCATAAGGATTCATAAAACTAGGAAACTATCTTACATACATTTTTTTTTACTTATCAATTAGCCAATAACCACAAATTTGAATCACAAATTTGAATAGCTAGTATCACTGTATATAATGAAGTTCCTTAACCCTTTAAATGCATAGCATTTTGTTTAAGATGTGATTTAAGGTAAGGATTGGGTTGTAAAGCAGCAAGAATAAAATTGAGGAATATGATTTTGTTTTGTTTTAGCATCTCAGCCCCAATCAACGTATACTATGCCTAGTGCATATTATAGACGTTCTTATGACCAACCAGCATATGTACCCCTTGCTTCATACCCAACTCCTGTTAAAAAACTTGTCGCAGTAGAAAGAATTCGAGTAATTTTCCCAGAAACTTTCCTTTGGTCAACAAAAGCATCAGGGTATACTTTTATATTAAAATTCCAAACAAGCTGTAAAATTGCTCTTGTCTAATGGTGATTTATAGTTTTTATTATTCCCCCCTTAGGCTGCTTAACCCTTTAAATGCTAGCATTTTGTTTAAGATGTGATTCAAGGTAAGGATTGGGTTGAAGAATTGGTGAATCAAACTTGACATAATGTATAGAAATGGCTCATTGTAAAGCAGCAAGAATAAAATTGAGGAATATGATTTGTTTTGTTTTAGAAGCTCAGCCCCAATCATCGTATTATATGCCTATGGGGGGCATGGGCAAAAGCTATGACTTTAGCGCATATAGAAGTTCTTACGACCTTCCAGCATCATATGCAGGACCTTCTTCATACCAATCTCCTGTTGAAAATCTTGTCGCAGTAGAAAGAATTCGAGTTATTTTCCCAGAAACTTTCCTTTGGTCAACCAAAGCATCAGGGTATACTTTTATATTAAAATTCCAAACAAGCTGTAAAATTGCTCTTGTCTAATGGTGATTTATAGTTTTTATTAGGCTGCTTAGGGATTTTATGATGAAACCAACTAACTGTTAACACTTTTTCCTAGAATAAATATATAGGTCTAGTATTTAACATAGAACAGACTGACAATCAGAACAAAATTAAAATCATTTAATCTTTTTGCATGTTTTGGGGATGGATTATATAATGCTTGTTTCTAAATCCTGATGTAAATATATACTTCCTAATCATCATTGGAATAACATTTGTATCACCAGAATTATCTTATTTATCATCCATACCATTAGTTTTATACAGTCCATCTTACTAACCTTGGCTGTTTTGTTTGCTACAGGTTACTTTACTTTTTTTTGCTGCTTTATCTTTTTTTTTTAACAGTTTCACATTATGTATTACTGTATAATTACACCTTTAATATATTAATATTAATTAAATAACAAAAATAAATTATTCACAGTAGAAGAATTATTGCTTACTAACTTTTTACCACATAATTATACTAAAAAACTAAACATTTATATATTTAATTACTTTACAGTGTGCTGTAATGAATGAATTTGTTTTCATTTTTACTGTTTTGATTATAGATCCAAAAATTAGTATATATTTGTACTCCATTTACAAAAATTAATATATTTTAAAAAAACTTTGAATGCCCTCTAATTAAATAACTAGTGTACACTAAATATTGACTTAAGTCCAAGCAGTAAATTAGAATATTTGTGTCATGACCAATTAAAATAATGTAACCTAATGTATTAATTGGATGTGTTTTCCAAACAACAGCAAGGAAGGTAAAGCTGTATTTAAGGCCAAAGTACCTGACACGATTACATCATGGGTTGCAAGTGCTTTTGCTACAAACCTCGTCTCAGGGCTTGGTGTGGCCCCAACAACAGCAATGGTAGTTACCACTTTTCATTCATTTTTAACAACAGCAATGGTAGTTACCACTTTCATTCTTTTTAAACAACAGCCATGTTAGTTACCACCTTTATTCTTTTTTAACTACAGCAAAGGTAGTTACCACTTTCATTCTTCTTCAATAACAGCAACAGTAGTTACCACTATCATCATTTTTAACAACAGCAACAGTAGTTACCACTATCATTATTTTTAACAACAGCAATGGTAGTTACCACTTTCATTCATTTTTAATAACAGCCATGTTAGTTACCACCTTCATTCTTTTTTAACTACAGCAAGGGTAGTTACAACCTTAATAACTTTGTCAACACAAGTTCTTTTTATAGGCTCTCTGCTAGCTATGTCACTGTTAATTAAATGTTGTATGATGAGAACTTTAAAATAGAAAAGCTGTATAGAAAAATGCACTCTTAAAATTGTTAGCATTTTAAAAACTAAAAGGTTCCAAAATATTAAATATTTTACCAGAAAATGGGGAAAGACCTGTTAAGTATGATTTAATTTAATTTATTGTATTTTGAGTTATAATTATTAAATAAATAGTTTTGTAGTAAATCAGCTAAAAATGTAGCTTTTGTCCAGTGTATCTTTTCTAAGATTTACATGTAATACAATAACTCATGTAAGTTATAATATAATATTGTTTTATTTTCATTCAGCTAACTGTGTTTAGACCTTTCTTTGTGAGTTTGACATTCCCACGCTCTGTGACCCGCAAGGAACAGTTTGTTGCCCAGGCAACAGTTTTCAACTATTTACCTGAAGACCTCTCTGTGAGTTCTTTTGATTGGTTGCTTTTTTTAGATGTGTATTTAATCAATGATGATGTGGTTACATTTGTTAGAAACCAAAGAAACTTAAAAACAAAAAATGTGTCCATTTTATAGTCTTGTTAATAGAGCAAGATTTAATTTAGAATATTTCTAAATAGTTGTTTCATTTTCTTTTTTAATAGACTTTTTAAGTTTAAACTATTTTAAAGTAAACATTTAAATTTCAAGGTGATATCTTATTGCTTTAGGTGGCCTGCTGTATTGGAAAGCCAACAGCACTGTAGAAAGGAAACTTAAAAACAAAAAAAATGTGTCCATTTAATAAAAAATAAAAAAATAATAATTTAATTGATTCTTTATAAAAATATTATTTTTGCAAAAAGCAACAATAATTACTAAAATTTAAAAAATATATATTATATTACCTGGAAAAAATGTGACATTTAGATCAAAGTAGAGGTGTACATATACTTTAAAAAATTTGAAGTGCAAACTGACTGTAGTTTAAGCTTGAGTTACAACATCAGTTACAACTTTCTTATGTTGCCAGGTCACAGTAACATTGAAAGGAAAAAGTAATTTTAGAAGTGTAACTTACAGCTCCAATGGAACTGAGATCTTGGTCAATGGAGACCAACAGAAGACAATTCAGGTGAGTGGTCTAGATTTTAATATCAAGTCTAGTTATGTAAGTAATATACAATGAGTTTTCAGATTGATATACCATTTTGAAAACTTGAAATTGTTTTTGTGACGGGCATAAAGAGACAGTTTTGGTAATTTTACAGGTGAAATCCCAGAAACAGGCTGTTGCTTACTTCCCAATTTTAGCCACGACTGCTGGGTTGATTGACTTGGAGGTTTCTGCCCAGTCTACCGTAGCTGCTGATGCCGTCAGACAACCGATTGTTGTTAAGGTGAGTCACTCACCCCACCCAGACATACTGAATCATGTTTGAATTATTTTGTAGAATCTCATCAATTTTATTATTTTCCTTGTCTAATGTATCTAAAATGTATCTCTGTTACCTACAAACATTGTAAAAATGCCACTGTGACTTTTATAATTACCATTACATTTTTTTTTCTATTTTGATTAATGAAAATACATATTTACCATTCCCATTATGTGAAATATATATTTTCCATGCAATTATAATTTACGATGAATTAGAAAGACCAAAAAAATATCACATTTTTTATCTCCCTTTTATACAGTATGAAGGTGCCCCAGTAAATTATAACAATCCAATGATGATCAGCCTAGAGCCATCCTCAGACTTTGAAAAGACAGTGACCTTTACTCTCCCATCATCAACAGTTAAGGGGTCAGAGAAGGCCAGGTTCAAGGTTACAGGTAACGAAGATATTTTCAGACCTAAAATTTATTATCCAAAGTATTATTCAATAAGGATATTAATCTTCTATTTCATTTTTTAAACTAACATAATAAAATGTCTCTGTCAGTAGTAGATGCTATTGTTGATGTTTTTATTCAGGTGATTTACTGGGATCAAGTTTAAGCAATTTGGAGTCATTGCTGACTCTACCAATGGGATGTGGTGAACAGAGCATTGCCAAATTTGTCCCCAACATTTACATCTTGGGATATCTCAAAGCCTCTGGCCAGCTGACGCAAGCTCTGTCTAAAAAGATTGTTGGTCTTTTGGAAGATGGTTTGTAGTTTATTTTGGATATTTATTTTACTCAAGCAAAATCTCCCTATCCTGCCATTTGGCAGAAGAAAAATTTTAAATAGAGATAACTTTAAAGTTTCAAATTACAAAAGTTTTGTTCTTTGAAACATTGCAATTATTTTTAGTTCAACCTTTTAAATAACCATAGCTTAAACAAAGAGAGAAATGCAGTGTGAAAAATCAATCTATAATGTGTAGAACTATTGCTTAAAACTATAATGTAGTTCAAAATTTCAGATAACATATAGTATTAAATTATTAATTGGCACAATCAATTAAAAACAGAACAATACATACATTTCTTGTAATTACAAGGCTGCAGACAATTTGTAAAGTAGTTAAATGCTTTTGAAAATAATAATTATTTTTAACTTAAATTTTATTTTTGAGACTATCTGTTTCTAAGAATTGAAAACTGTAGGCTTATACTAATTTGTTTAATATAAAAGCTAGTTACTTTTGAATTTATTTATCTGTACACCATTTAAGTAATGTAATGTATATGTAATGTAATGTAATGTTTGTGATGATTATATTATCAGGCTACCAGAGACAGCTGACCTACCAAAGGTTTGATGGAAGCTTCAGTGCTTTTGGCAATTATGATGAAAGTGGAAGCACATGGTAAAAGCATAGATTATGCTCATTTAATATTTGTCTATTGATAAAAGGCATGGAAAATATGCATATTTGTTCTCAGTCTTAATTTATTGCAAAGGAAAAAAAAATATTCATACTTTTATCTATAAACTAGTTTTTAAAGCTGTTTTATTCAAAAATAAAAACAGTCAATAATTAAAAAAATAAAGTGTTGATGTTTTAACATTTTTTTTATAAAAAATTTATTTATTTTTAAAGTAAAATAATTATGCTATTTTTATGTATTTATTATTAAAACATGTGTGCTATATTATTAATTAGTAGAGTTCCTGTTGCATAAGTTATTATGTTCTAAAAGCACAAAGAATAAATGCCAGTTTGTGTACTTACCAACAGGCTGACAGCGCAAGCCTGCAAAGCTTTACATGAAGCTCGTGAGTACATCTACATTGACCCCCAGATGGTGATCAGATGTAGCGAGTGGATCATTGATAAACAAAAGGAAGATGGATCTTTTGCTGAGTTTGGAAAGGTGATAGACAAAACTACACAGGTGAGCTTGTCAGCATGGACTGTTGTTTATGGCCTATTTTATTGTATCACTCATTTTTTCTAAAATGACATTCTAATAAAACTCAAGAAAATATTTTCTAAAAAACTCTGTATTAGCATCAACCATAAATAATGTCAGTTTATATCATCTTACAGTTTTTTTTGCTGTTAGGTAGGCCTGAGTTTTTGTTACATATTTAAAAAAAATACATACAATGTTTTTCTATAAGTTTAAAAAACCCATTAAATATGTTACTTATTTTAATATCAAGCAATAAACTTGGTTAATATAGTAGTTAATCTATAGCAAATATTTATCTTATTTCACCATAAATTAAGCAACAGCTACTGCAATTAAATAATTTCACCATTAGTATAGTTATTGGATTTCTTTAATGATTTATTTAAAATATCCATAATCTGCCTACAAATAACCATCAGCCATTTTTTCTCTAATCCTCAGGGCACAGGTACTGGACCTGCTCTGACTTCCTTCGCCTTGTTGAGCCTTCTTCAGACTGCTGACCTCTTTAACGAGCAGGTTGTCTATTTACACATGTTGACAAGTTTCTCTATATTTTATTTTATTGATAAATAATTTGTATAATTGATTGGTATTAATTCAAAAATAGTTAAAGTTATATATTTTTTATCAATATATAAATAAACATATTTTTTTGGAGTTTGTATGCATTCCCACAGACAGGCTAAAACTATCAAATATAAACTATTAAAATATTAATAATAGTTACAACACCAGACTGTTGTATTTTGCTAGCTATACAAAATAAAGCAAATTATAATGAGAATTTTATTTTAATTCCCTATTTGCACAAATCCAGTTGAATCATTAAGTTTTTAATCATTCTCTTGACAATAAGCTTCACATGAGTTATATTCTCCCCCAGGAATGCAAGCTTAAATCAAACTGCTACAGCTACTACCGCTGGGGTAATGCAACCCTGAAGGCTAAAAACAACCTAGAGGCTCTTGTACAGAGTAATGCAATCACTGAGCCCTTCCCTCTAGCTGTTGTTAGCTATACACTTAGCAAAGCTAAAAGTAAATTAGCTAATGCTGCTTTCACTAAACTTTTGGCGTTGTCTAAAAATGAGGGTATGTCTTTATAAGCTTTTAAATGGTTATTTAGAATAGTTTATAAAATAAATGATAATAGTTACCAATAATCAATTTAATTTTTAAATGATAAGAAAATGTGTAAATAATAATAAAATAAATGCATTGTACACTCAAGTTTTATATTTTACTACATAGTTTACTTATTAAAATCTTGTTAGTAAAGGAAGGTTTCATTTTAGAATTTTTCTAAAAAGTAGTGTTCAAAATAATTGCTTAATTTTCTTTTTTAATTGACTTTTAAATGGTTTTTTTAATAAAATTATTATAAAGTAAACATTTCAAGTGGATTTCTTATTGCTTTAGGTGGCCTTCTGTTTTGGAAAGCCAACAGCACTGTAGAAGAGAGCAAGAGACCAATTGATGCCGTGCCCTACATTTGGAGACCACCACGTGTGCAGGCCAGACCCATTGACATATTGATCACTTCCTACGCCATCCTCACATTCTCAACCCTGAATCGCATTAATGAATCTCTGCCTGCAATCCAATGGTTGACTGCACAGAGAAATTCACTGGGTGGATTTGCTTCCACACAGGTTAGTTAAAACTAGATGATTTCTTAAAACATAAAAAGGGAATTGAAATTAAAGTAAATTTTAACGTGTAAATACTGTTTAAGTAACTAAACATAAAAATATAAATGATTATTTAAAATTAATTTATAAAATATTTAAAAAAGACAGATAAAATTAAATTTGTGTTAATGAATTTAAGAAAAAGCTTTGAAAAATGAATTTGTTTTACTCAAAAAAAAATGAATGTTTTTAGATCAACTTTATAAAAACTATTCAAAATGAATTTGTTTTCCATAGATTTTAAAAAAACAACAACTAAATTGAATATATTTGAACCAAATTTTCAGGACACAACAGTTGCACTTAATGCTATCTCAGTGTTTGCTACCAAGACCCTGAGACCAGACACTTCTCTCACAGTCACCTTCTCAGACATTCAGACATTCGCAAACTTTTCAGTCACAGCTTCGAATGCTTTGTCACTGCAGATAAAAGAGGTAGGTAATGTTGTAGGCCTATGTGTTGATTAAAGCGACTTAGATTATTTTGTAAGAAAAATTAAAATATACTTTAACGATGCAAAATGAAAGTAATCTTAAAAAACCAAACTAAAAGAAATTAGCTGAACAAAAATCATTTAATTTAAGTAGGCCTATTTCACTTCATAAAATGTTATTATCAGTCTATTCTATAGAGCCTCTAAGTAATAAATGTTTTATGCACTTTTGTTATTAAATGATTTTAATTGAAATAAATGTAATCTAGTAAAAATTATCTTACCATATTTACAGACAGCCAAGGCTCCACCTAAAATTAATGTCTTAGCCAGTGGTACTGGACTTGCTCTTGCTGAAGTTAGTTTTTTTTAGTGAATTTTGTTTTAAGTTAGTCAACATTTCAATTAATTCTTGCTGTTTAGAAAACATTCAAGTTCAAGTAAAGTCTTTAAAAGGTCAACATATATATCTGTGTATATATGTACTTTTTGGTTATAATTGAGTGTATTCATCTATAACATATATATCATTTTAGTTTTTCTCGTTCAAGATAGTAAATATTTATAACCCTAAAAAGTAACCATAAAATCTTACATTATTTAATGAATTTTTTTCCATCCTTATTTGGAGTAGTTTCCCTTTGTTTAAATAGATAATGTTTTACAAACAGTTGTGTATTTATGTTTAAAAATGAGTTAATTTAACAAAACCAAAAATGTCTACAGGTTGAATACAGCTTTAATGTTGAGGATGAGATTAGCACTCCATCTTTTGATGTCAATACCGTACTCTTGGATGATGATATTAACTCATTTAACTTGATGATTTGTACTAAGTGAGATCATTTTTAACAATTGTTTTACTTGTTTTTTTACATAGCTAGTGATGGGGTTAACTGATAATGTAGAAGTAAACATAAAAATTGCCCAGTTTCCCTATAGGGTTAACTGATAATGTAGAAGTAAAAGTAAAAATTTCCCATTGTGCCTATAGGGTCAACTGATAATGTAGAAGTAAACATAAAATTTCTCATTGTGCCTATAGGGTCAACTGATAATGTAGAAGTAAACATAAAATTTCTCATTGTGCCTATAGGGTCAACTGATAATGTAGAAGTAAACATAAAATTTCCCATTGTGCCTATGGGGTTAACAGATAATGTAGAAGTAAACATAACATTTCTCATTGTGCCTATGGGGTTAACTAATAATGTAGAAGTAAACATAAAATTTCACAGTGTGGCTATAAGGTTTACATTTTTTGCTTGAATTTTAGATGGCTGTGGAACAGAGAAACAGGAATGGTCGTCCAAGAAGTTAGCATTCCATCAGGTTTTGTAGCTGACCTGTCCACTCTTGGCAATGTTGCCGGGCTCAAGAGATCAGAGATCAAAGGAAGCAATGTGGCCATTTACTTTGATAAGGTTTGATTTAATGCAATGTGACCATTTACTTCGATAAGGTTCGATTTATTCCAGTGATAAGTTACAATGTGCCATTTACTTTGATAAGGTTCGATTTATTCCCAGTGATAAGTTACAATGTGGCCATTTACTTTGATAAGGTTCGATTAATTCCAGTGATAAGTTACAATGTGGCCATTTACTTTGATAAGGTTTGATTTATTCCAGTGATAAGTTACAATGTGGCCATTTACTTTGATAAGGTTCGATTTATTCCAGTGATAAGTTACAATGTGGCCATTTACTTTGATAAGGTTCGATTTATTCCAGTGATAAGTTACAATGTGGCCATTTACTTTGATAAGGTTCGATTTTTTCCCTATGATAAGTTACAATGTGGCCATTTACTTTGATAAGGTTCGATTAATTCCAGTGATAAGTTACAATGTGGCCATTTACTTTGATAAGGTTTGATTTATTCCAGTGATAAGTTACAATGTGGCCATTTACTTTGATAAGGTTCGATTTATTCCAGTGATAAGTTACAATGTGGCCATTTACTTTGATAAGGTTTGATTTATTCCCAGTGATAGATTTGCAATGTGGCCATTTACTTTGATAAGGTTCGATTTATTCCAGTGATAGGTTACAATGTGGCCATTTACTTTGATAAGGTTTGATTTAATGCAATGTGACCATTTACTTTGATAAGGTTTGATTTATTCCAGTGATAAGTTACAATGTGGCCATTTACTTTGATAAGGTTCGATTTATTCTCAGTGATAAGTTACAATGTGGCCATTTACTTTGATAAGGTTCGATTTATTCCAGTGATAAGTTACAATGTGGCCATTTACTTTGATAAGGTTTGATTAATTCCAGTGATAAGTTACAATGTGGCCATTTACTTTGATAAGGCTCGATTCATTCCCAGTGATAAGTTACAATGTTGCCATTTACTTTGATAAGGTTCGATTAATTCCAGTGATAAGTTACAATGTGGCCATTTACTTTGATAAGGCTCGATTTATTCCAGTGATAAGTTACAATGTGGCCATTTACTTTGATAAGGTTCGATTTATTCCAGTGATAAGTTACAATGTGGCCATTTACTTTGATAAGGTTCGATTAATTCCAGTGATAAGTTACAATGTGGCCATTTACTTTGATAAGGTTTGATTTATTCCAGTGATAAGTTACATTCAGTGGCGTAGCAAGGTCGGGTGTCACCCGTTGCGGCACTTAATGGTGTCTTTCAATTTGCACCGCCCCTCTCAAACTTTCGATTTGCACCCCTCCCCCCTCCACCCTTGTCGGGATTTGTCGAATTTGCTCTTAAAAGACTTTTTAACACTCGAATTAATCACTTAATTAAGTGGAATTATCATTTTTCTCTATATATTTTGCTATTTTTTTGCCTTGGTGTCATACCGCTAAATGGTGTCACCAGGTGCGGTCCGCACACCTTGCCTCCCCCCCCCCCCCATCGCTACGCCACTGGTTACAATATAAAAATTCCCTCAGTTATTGAAATTTAAAATTATAAAATTGTAAGTTTACATATTTCAAGTTGTGTATATTGAAGGTTAAAATTCTTAAGTCTGAAGTATACATATTTCAAGTTGTGTATATTGAAGGTTAAAATGATTAAGTCTTAAGTGTACATATTTCAAGTTGTGTATATTGAAGGTTAAAATTCTTAAGTCTTAAGTATACATATTTCAAGTTGTGTATATTGAACGTTAAAATGATTAAGTCTTAAGTATACATATTTTAAGTTGTGTATATTGAACGTTAAAATGATTAAGTCTTAAGTATACATATTTCAAGTTGTGTATTGTGAGCACAGCTGATGGTTTCTGTTTGCTTTACAGATCAGCCAGTCTTCCCTGTGCTACAGCCTGAGGATGGTTCGTGAGACAAAGGTTGCCAAGTCTCAGAGATATTTTGTCAGAACATTCGACTACTATGAGCCAGGTAAACTTCAATCTTTTAACTCATGTGGAATCAAAACAGTAATTTAGGTTAACTTTTGTGACTGGACGATGTATGGTGCAGATGAGATAGAGTTTATCTGTTTCTGTGGCGTCAGCCAATAAAGGAATTGTGTGGTAAACATTACGATTTGCTGCTTTTACTTTCAATAATGTGAGTTAGACACCCATCAAAGCTGGATGGACTTAGGGACGTTCTAATGACTTAAGCTTCTGATCCAAACTATGGACAAGTATACATAGTGGTTTCAAATCACTATAATATATATATATATATATATATATATATATATATATATATATATATATATATATATATATATATATATATGATAAATATATACTTACATACGTGTGTGTCTGATTAAAGTTTTGTACCTTGATACACCCAAAACTCAGTTGTATGTGATGCTGACTAGTATTGTACATTTATTTTTTCAGCTGACCAAAGTACCGTGTTTTACCAGCCAAAGGCTATTAAAGAAGCAACAATTTGTGATGTGTGCAATGGTTGTTGCCCTTAGTTTAACAAGGAGACACCCTCTGGGGAACTATATAACAATCAGACGTCAGCTGTTAAATATTTTATTTTTTTGTCTGATTGAAAAACATAAAAATTTGAATGTATTCATGTTATATTTTAAAGAAACCAAATACAATTTATTCCATTAAACTGTATTCTGGTTTTTTTGTATTTATTGTTTTTTGTTTTAATCAGATTGTGGTAAGTAAAGTTCCCTTTTCAAACCTGATGGTCTTTAGGGCAAGTGAAGTAGAGTTCACTTGTTTCTGTTACCTCGACATATGAAGGGATAGTGTGGTCAGCACTATGCCCAGCCGCCTTTACTTTCCCTAACGTGAGTTAGGTACCCATCAGAGTTGGGTGGACTCAGGGACTGTCTACTGACTTGAACCCGGATTCGAATTCGAGACTTACGGGTTAGCAGTCCAGCTCTCTACCGCTAGACCACTCCGTCCCATTTAGATTGAGGTAGCTTTTTAAAAAATGTTGTTGTCAAATAGAAGTCGTTTCTGAGTATCAGTTCCGTGCAGCATTAGGATAGTTTGAACAATTTCTTAAACAAGACACTTTTGGAACAGTCCATAATGTTTAAACCAATCATAACGTCAGTTCAACACATCATTAGTAAGTTTACGTGAACTCTCCTCTCCCTTTCTGACTCCTACTATTAGATAGCCTTAGTGTAATGAGTGCCTCGTCTTATAGGGTTGTGCTAATGCTGACGCTTGCTCTCCTTTCCACTGGCCTAGTTGGGGAACCATTTCCTCTAAAACAATAACGATAGGAATAAAGTTGAATAATCCTTTTGTTACAGACGAAGGAAAAAAATAGAAAAACTCCCTGCAGCCCGTTGAGAAATACGGACACATATCTGAAATGTAGGAATACAATTGTTATTCGTTTGTAGAACGACTGAAACAATTTGCCAAACTGAATCGTATTTCAATATCCGGCAATATGTTAAGGTAGATAGGCTCTAATTAATAATTTCAATTTCTCTATTTATAAGCTTTCTACCATACTGTTATATGTATAACTGCTTATTCACTGATAAGCCTAAGTGTAAAAAAGTACTTAGGTGTCGTCCATAAATGACGTCACACTCGTAGGGGGGAGGGGGGGGGGGTGTCCGTAATTTTGTGTGGGGAGGGAGGGGGTAGATGGTGTGACATCACACTTTTTCATTATAGAAAAGCAATGTTAAAAAACGAGTTTTAGCCGTTATTTTGCGTCTTAGAAAAGGTTTTAATAAATTGTAATAGGAATTGATTAAAATAATACTCTATGTTGACAGAGTTCAGACAAGATTTTGGAAAAATTTCGATGTGTTAAGAAAAATTCAACTGCAATTTTGAGGGGGGTTGTAGGCTGAGGTGTAACATCATTTTAGGGGGGGGGGGGTCTGGCTATTTGTGACAATGTGTGACGGAGGGGAGGGGGGAGGTATAAATCGTCAAAACAAGTATGACGTCATTTATGGATGACCCATATACCTTAATACAATCCAGTCAGTTGCCTCGGCCAAAATGGCGACAATCCAAAATGCCCCTGTTAACGTTGAAAGCTTGGTGTAAACTTTAAATTTATTCAAGTCGTCTTTCCGGCAACTTTCGTGAACCTGTAGCTCTAGAACGGCGTTGATTTTGTAGATGACGATCACGAAGAATGCGATGTTGCACGTTGTAATGGCGGATAGTGGTAGGATCATGGCTAGACCTGGTGGAGTGTAAAGTAATCAGCTCAGTCCATGCATTTTGAAACTGACGTTAGTGAGGATGTGGGGACTGGTGTGAGTGGTGTTGTGGTGGCTGGTGTGAGTTGTGTTGTGGTGTTTGGTGTGAGTGGTTTTGTGGTGACTGGGGTGAAGTTTCGAGGCTGATGTTAGTGGGGTTGAGGGGCCTTGTGTTAGGTTGGGTTGAGAAACAGCTAGATAGATAGTTTAGGCGCCGATATAACCATTATGAGGAAGGGAGTGGAATGGAGTGGGAAATTTGTTGACATCTAATTGAAACTCTTTCTTGAAATTTCAAATCAAGAAATGATTATGGGTTTATGGTTTTAGTTTTTCAAAATTAAATTCGGCGTTGGCTAATTTTTGGATGAATACATTTTTTTAAAAATAGTAAATCTTAAGTTTGAATTCATTTACCCACAACAGCGGTAGAATTGAGGTAACATCTGTCATCACCGTATCCAAGAGTCTCGCCCTGTGAGGCCAGACTAGAGTAGATGATAACTGTAAGGACGATCAGCAGGGGAAATGATAAGGAAAGAGTTATGTTTTTTACGAATTGAATGTTAGTCTCTCTCGAACTTCGGTATAAAGTTCTGGTCTTGGCTCCAAAAACCTTAAACATGTGGAAACTGCAAATAAAACTCCAAGAGAACATCCACAGCCAGAGGTAGTGGGTCAACACGCCGGTTGTGGTACAGTAGACGCTTGGGCCGGAGCTGTGGGAAAATTAATTACGACAGTTGGCATTTGTAAAGGTGGGGAAAAATACGACAGTTACATTGGCATTTGTTAAGCTTAGAAAAAATAATTACGACAGTTGGCATTTGTTAAGGTGGGGAAAAGTAATTAAGACAGTTGGCATTTGTTAAGCTTGGGAGAAATAATTACGACAGATGGCATTTGTTTAGCCGTGAAAAATAATTACGACAGTTGGCATTTGTTAAGGTGAGGAAAAATAATTACGACAGATGGCATTTGTTAAACTTGGGAAAAATAATTACGACAGTTGGCATTTGTTAAGCTTGGGAAAAATAATTACGACAGTTGGCATTTGTTAAGGTGGGGAAAAATAATTACGACAGATGATATTTGTTAATCTTGAGAAAAATAATTACGACAGATGGCATTTGCTAAGCTTGGGAAAAATAATTACGACAGTTGGCATTTGTTAAGCTTGGGAAAAATAATTACGACAGTTGGCATTTGTTAAGGTGGGGAAAAATAATTACGACAGATGGCATTTGTTACGCTTGGGAAAAATAATTACGACAGATGGCATTTGTTAAGCTTGGGAAAAATAATTACGACAGTTGGCATTTGTTAAGGTGGGGAAAAATAATTACGACAGATGACATTTGTTAATCTTGAGAAAAATAATTACGACAGTTGGCATGTGTTAAGCTTGGGAAAAATTTATTACGACAGTTGGCATTTGTTAAGCTTGGGAAAAATAATAACGACAGTTGGCATTTGTAAAGGTGGGGAAAAATAAAAACAATATAGTTAGAAATCAAATGTAAACTCAACCTGTGTGAACTGAGCAGCAGTGAGATCTGTGCCAACAACAGACTTCCACTTAACGACATGTTATTTTTGCCAGCTGTGGTCATCAGGACAGGAACAAGAAGAAACGTCATCAACGTCAAAAGCAAGCATAGAATTGACAAACCAAGACAGGCCAGAGACAGAATGTACTCTACTTGTAAAACAAGACTTGTAGACATTTCCACATGTATGTATTTAGTTTCACTTAGTTTTCTGTCCAACAACTTGTAGCATATTTTAAGTTTGTTGTCCTCGTCTATTTCCATCATGTTAAGCTCTGAAGTCTGAGTGAAGTTGAGTCGTGTAACATTCAGATTAACACTGGCCGTAACGCTGGGTGGGAGAGTTATATAAACAATGTCTATGTCGTAATCCGTGGGGTTGAAGGCGACCAAAGCACAGTCGGGCTCTGATGTTAAGTTGAGAAACAGACTAATATATACTTTCATATCCGTCCTTACTTGAACGTTGTTTGAGGTCTGTCTATAATTATACTGACAGAGCAGTTCTTGAGGAATGTTTTTTAAACTTAAGTCCCTGGGCGTAGATGAAGTAGATAAAACCAGCGTGAAATTAGACGAGATATTTATTGAGATCGGAGAAGTAAATACAGCTTCAGATATCATTGACTCAAAGTCGTCCCGCAGCAAAGTTCTGTTTGCAATAATTCTTGCATCTAACCAAAAGATGTAATCATATACATTATTGTAGTGATCAGGCCGTTGATTTTGTAGAAGTTCAAGTTCCAAATAAATTGCTTCACAATGATCACTAAGTAGTTCGTAGAGCTAAAGAATTATAAAAAGAATTCGATAAACTATATACTATAGAAAGTATGATTAAATTAGCAACAAGAATTATTTATCACTAAAGCGTTTTAATTTTAAAATCATGGCTTATTAATACAGTTATACATTATAAAATACAATTACTATTATAGCCAATTGTTCATTAATAATTTAAACAAATAATAACACAACTATTGTTGTAATATTAACAGCAAGAAATCTGAAGAACCAAACCTTGGCTCTAACTTGTTCCACTTCTACCATCTGCAGACCACTTAAGTTCCCCACTGGTAAGAGCCACAGCCGTAAGTTGTATCCTAAGCCTGTGATCTCAGGGAATATTGTACTGCAGGTTTTGTTGAGGAGTTGTTTCCCTGGCTGGCAGCTTAGAGCTAAACATTCACCCTAAATGTTGATGAGTTAATAATTTTGCTGATCAATTAAAATTCACATAGTTTAATACATTGCCCTCGTAAAATGTGTTAAACATGAAACATATTTAGCAAATGGTAGTAAGTGGCGCAAGACTGCTAACATGAACGAAAGTCTAGAGTTCCAATTCGGGTTCAAGTTAGTAGTTTGGTACCTTTCTAGCGTTGGGAAAGTAAAGGTGGCTTGTTGTAGTGCTGACCATACTTTCTCCTCATATGCCGAGGTCACAGAACAGGTAAATTCCAGTTTACTTACCCAATAGACCGTAGGTTAGAAAAGGGAATTCTATTTTTTATATTTTGGAATAAAAGATTATATAATTTAAAACCAATTGCTTGAAGTTAAGATAAATGTGCAAATTTAAAAAAAGCGCATTTTATGCAAATTTAATATTTTAATAGAATAGTTTCTATTATTTTAAGCTACTAAAATCAAAATAGTTTGTACGTACATTAGGGGCAGACCACCCTGTAGCCGAACAGACGGTGTTAGTAAGCTGTACATTTTGTTTGTGTAAATTTTTGTCTCGTTTCTCTTTGAAATTTAACAGAAAGGAAAAGGGCAGTTGAGTGTTCAATACGAAGTTTCCTGGACATCTGCAGGGAATATTGTCCATGGTGGGGAATGATCCCTGCATAGATGGATTTTTATCA